GTTTCTTACCCTTATGGCTGCAAATGTATTCTTGAAAGTCTGTGGGCAATGCCTGTCCCTCAGCTTTTACCTACCCAAGGCAGCAGCCTCATTGTGCCTCATGGTCAGACTAGCTTTGCCTATAACCTGTATTATAATTTTGCCACAACAGGCCCTCATTTATAAAACTAAAGTGGAGTGGGAGGAAAACTAATCTCCCTTCACCTGTGATTTGCTGACATTGTGTGCCTGGACATATGTTAGAGACTCTTAACTATCTGTAGGTTTCAGAAGGTTCTGATGAAGATCAGCAAATATATTTGCCACCCCCCAATCTCTGAGATTTATTTTTGGAATGTCACACAGCAGCAACTGTAAAGGAAAAGAGACAGGTGAACACCGCAAGCATGAAAAATGCCCCACCTGTAAAGTTCAAAAGCCAACTAGGCTGTTTTGAAAACTGTCAAGCAATGTATAAGGAAAATTATTCCACCTAGGAAAATCTTCACGTAGCCTGACTTACCAGTTGAAGAAGAAGAAGAAGAAGAGTTTGGATTTGATATCCCGCCTTTCACTCCCTTTAAGGAGTCTCAAAGCGGCTAACATTCTCCTTTCCCTTCCTCCCCCACAACAAACACTCTGTGAGGTGAGTGGGGCTGAGAGACTTCAAAGAAGTGTGACTGGCCCAAGGTCACCCAGCAGCTGCATGTGGAGGAGCGGAGACGCGAACCCGGTTCCCCAGATTAGGAGACTACCGCTCTTAACCACTACACCACACTGGCTCTCACCACACTGAAGGGGTAAGCTTGCAGGTTATAGTAATCTGATCCAAATTGCATGGAAGATAAATAGCTGTGTGGGTAGGAAACTGGTTTAAATAATATTAACTGACAAGCCACCATGCTCCATCTGCCTCACATAGGTCTTTTTATTATTCACAGCCTCTGATACCTCCTTCCCAATTTCTATCCCATCCAATCCATTCCAAAGAACACTGTTCAACTTTCCTCTTCAGGAAAGCATACTACCCTTTCCTATTTGTATATACATACCATACATTTAAAGGGACGCGGGTGGCGCTGTGGGTAAAACCTCAGTGCCTAGGACTTGCCGATCGTATGGTCGGCGGTTCGAATCCCCGCAGCAGGGTGAGCTCCCGTCGTTCGGTCCCAGCTCCTGCCCACCTAGCAGTTCGAAAGCACCCCTAAGTGCAAGTAGATAAATAGGTACCGCTTTATAGCGGGAAGGTAACGGCGTTTCCGTGTGCTGCGCTGGTGCTGGCTCGCTAGAGCAGCTTCGTCACACTGGCCACGTGACCCGGAAGTGTCTTCGGACAGCGCTGGCTCCCGGCCTCTTAAGCGAGATGAGCACGCAACCCCAGAGTCGGACACGACTGGCCCGTACGGGCAGGGGTACCTTTACCTTTACCTTACCATACATTTAAAACACATTCCCTCCACTCTGAAAGAATAATGGGGAATGCAGTTTCTCCCTTGCAGAGTTGTAATTCCCAGCACTTCTAACAAATTACAGTTCCCAGGTTTCTTTGGAGGGAAAATGTGCTTCACATGTGCAGCCTATGTAATTAACTAAAGCCTTGCTTTCATATGAGGCCCCCTCAATCTTAGGGACAACTTGGCACCTCTAGTTAGTAGCCCCCACCCTATGGCTCATATGTATGAGTTTTATCCTCCACGAACCATGTGTTTCAGTTGAGTTCAGGCAGGTCCCCTCCCTGTCTGAAGCCTACCAAAGCCTTAAATGAAAATTCTATTAGGCTTTTAAGTTAATTCTGATTTCCTAGTTTGAACTCATTTTTATTCTCCTATACATTGCTTAGAGAAGGCTGTAATTAAGTGGTATATAAATTGTAGATAGGTAGGAAGAAATGAAGGAAACCTCCACAGCCCCATAAAAAACCATTCTTGATTTAGGCACAATTTAAAATCTGAATTGTGAATTTCCATAACCATAGCTCAATCTAGATTTGAACTCCACCTCTCTTCAAATAATATATCCCTGCCAAATAGAAACCTTTGTTTCTGCACAACAGCCGCCATCTACCAAAAAGAATCCTCTTTGGGAAAAGAGGATACTATTCAAGTATTCCTTTAGGTTATGTATTTGCGAGAGACGGCTGCTCATTTCTTTTGTATGAGATTGACCAGATTCAAAATGCCTCCTTGACCATTTTCCAGACTTCTGAGATTCTTTTCAAGCGATTCATTTTATTGACAAGCAATCCTCCTGCTCCAGATGCTGGGTGCAATGGATGAGACCCAGTGACTAATATCACACAGGTTAATGATGTTTGCAAGGTCACTTTGGATGGAACAGAGCCATTTTTGTCATCCTGGAGGATGTGTAGGTGGAGATGAAATGGAGATGATTATTGCTTGAGAGATATCCAACATGCTTCCTGCAGGTTTCTAGGTTATTCAGGTAATTATTCTTTAGATCTCGTCACACTCCATCTGAGCCAGCATGGTAACAAATACTAAAAATGCAATCAACATCCCAGTCCTAACTCTCACTACATAGAAAGTTTGGTGAGCCCCTTCTTACTAAATAAGGAAGGTTGGGAACTCAGGTCATCCTTATGGATTCCCTGTGTAATCATAATGCACACCCTGCTCTACTGTGCATTCCCCCTTTATGGTTCCCATTCCCATGAGACCTTGGGGTTATAGCGAATAGGTCACTGTATGACAACTGTAAAAAAAAACGTGAATTCCAAGCTATGGATCATTAGAAAAGGGGTTGAAAATAAAACAGCCAGTATCATAGTGCTATTAGACAAGTCACTTGGAATATAGGGTGGTATTCAAGGCTAGTTCTAATTAGGCTAGACTCACTGAAGTTAATGGGAAGGTGGTGGACCTTCACTGGAGGTTTTTAAGCAAAGGTTGGATGGCCATCTGTCATAGATATTTTAGCTGAAATCCTTAAGTTTTATGGAGTCTACTCACAAGTAGGACTTAGTTGGCTAAAGACACTGTGTACATTTTTAGTTGCCTAAGCTGAAAAAAAGATATTGTAGATCTGGGAAAGTTTCCATAAGGGATAACCAAAATGATCAAGGATAGAGCAGCTTCCCTGAGAAGAATTATTTGAGCATTTGGGGCTTTTTAGTTTAGCTAAATGATAAGTGAGAGGAGACAATATAGAGATGTATAAAATCAAGCAGTGTAACTCTCATTTGCCTTCAGTGACGCCTACTGGTTGTGGGATTTTTTACTGGCTTTAGATGTATCATTTTAACATGAATCCATTTACCATGTGACACTCCCCCCCCCCCCAAATGATGGAACCATCTTTGACCTATGTGATTAATCACATTTAATTAATAAAAAGAAAGCCTGAGGAGAAGCCATGTTTCATATCAGAATAGATGTAAGAAAATACTGAATATGTATATAATTTAAATCATTTTGGGAGAGATTTCTACCCACTGAAATCACCCCTTTCAACTAAAAACTACCTGGTAAATATTCACCACAGCTGTAGATATGAGAATCATTGGAATTTACATTGGACTGCACATTTGAAAAGCATTGTCAATTTCAGATCTGTTATCATGCAGAACTCCACTTCCACTCCAGGGCAGATGTCTCATTTTTAGAGGTGCAGAACATCCGCCAATGTTTTCAAATGTCACAAATTGCAAGACACCATTTTCAGAAATGATACACAACTTACATTAATTTCATGCAATTCACATATGCAGATTAACAGTGCCCATCTGGCTTCTGACAGGCACCCCAACATGACCCATAGATGCTGAGCAGGTTGCTCACCCTTGAATTAAAATAAATCAAGCTATCAGGCAGTGTCTGTGTAGCACAAATTTTCCTCACTTCTTGTTGGCTAACCTCACTCTGTAACTAAAGCTGTGTAATAGCCGAATCATGAAAGCCATTAGGATAATTCTGCTAATGGAGCAACCACTTTAAGTATAGCCATGTACTCTATCTGACATACTATCAGGCATAGGAACACCATATATAGACAATATGTGCCACTGCTGTTAAGATACACTCGCTCTGTGTTTGTGAGTGTTTTGTTTAGCATATGATATGGAAGAAGCTATTATTCCTATGTTTTATTGCATTACTTGCAATATTCAATGGCATAGTCAAGACAGATGTTGAGAGAAACAGTTCAGGTTTTAAAGCCTAGATCTGAGCTTCACCTGGGGACTTTGTGCCATCATTAGAAGCAGGAATCTTACACTCTTTAGATGTGATGAGGGATAAACCTGTTTGCCTCCACCCCTCTGTCCTTATCCCCAGTCCCTACCACCCTTCATGCACTGGAGGGCGAATGTTAACAACAGGGGGCCTTCTGTGTCCATGTAGGAGCCAGGTGCAATATACAATCAGGATTTTAAATCACATAGGGAATTTCCATAAGGTTGCTCATTGAAGAACCATAGATCAACAAATTTGTAAGAATAAGGTTCCTGGTTGAATCCTTGACATATTTACATAGCATTTCTGAATGCTATCCTTACTGCAGTTTAGCTTTGCTTGCTTTATGATGGAGCTGTTTATTTGTTTTTGTTATTTACTGGACTTGATTTTTATACATTCTGTAATTTTTCAATATCATTATTTTTTGAGGGAATATATTTTAATGAAGATTTTACATTGTTGCCTACCCTGGGATTGAAATATTTAGTGAATTGTTGTTGTTGTTTAGTCATGTCTGACTCTTCGTGACCCCATGGACCAGAGCACACCAGGCACTCCTGTCTTCCACTGCCTCCCACAGTTTGGTCAAACTCATGCTGGTAGCTTTGAGAACACTGTCCAACCATCTCGTCCTCTGTCACCCCCTTCTCCTTGTGCTCTCAATCTTTCCCAACATCAGGGTCTTTTCCAGGGAGTCTTCTCTTCTCATGAGGTGGCCAAAGTCTTGGAGCCTCAGCTCAGGATCTGTCCTTCCAGTGAGCACTCAGGGCTGATTTCCTTAAGAATGGATAGGTGTAATCTTCTTGCAGTCCATGGGAATAGTGAATAGTGGATTATAAATTAGTTGGTAGAGCATGAGACTCAATCTCAGGGTTGTGGGTTCAAGCCCCATGTTGGGCAAAGGATTCCTGCATTGCACGGGGTTGGACTAGATGACCCTTGAGGTCACTTCCAACTTTATAATTCTATGAACTATGAATAATAATAATAATAAAATCTCTATATAGGACTAGGGATATATCTTGTCTGAAACTCTGGAGACTCACTCTCAGTCAATGTAGACAAAACTGATCTAGATGGAGCAAATTGTTAGACTTACAAGGCAGCTCTCCAGCTTCCAATACATGGAGACTGACAAAACTGGGAGGCAGGGGAGGAAGTGAGGGGCTATGGCCAATGGGTTTCTCCCTACTCTCTCCCTCATTGCCTGGTAATAGTCACCATCTTTGAGCTTATGTCCCTCAGGCAAAGTATTTAAAATACCATCACTCAAGTTTTGTTGTTTTTAACACCTGATTAAATGTAGAAAGTCATACAAGCAACCCTTATTTGTATGTAAGGAGACTTCCTTCATTTATCTAATAGCCTCTACCTCTGTGTGAAAGTGAAGGACATTACTCCTGCTTACTAATAAACAGATTCCACTTTGCATATCAAAAGCATTTTTGACAGCTGAGAAGACAAGGGATCTTTGGTCTCTTCTGGATTGAAAATGAAGGCCCCTGCTGCTAGAAGAGGAACTCTCAATGCATGGAACAAGGGCTTTAAATAACAAACAGTTGGCTGTAAATGAATTCAAGTTGACCTTCACCTTCACCAGGAATATAAGGAGTCTTGAGTGATCAGTGTAAAATGGCCAGATTTCCAGAGTAGCACAACATGGTACAGGACATATTTTCATGCTGTGCTTTGATATGCTGCACTTCACTATAATTAATTGAATATTATTATTCTTCCCCTTGCTATTTTAATACATTTAGTACATTGTGTTTCTAAGAACAAGGCAATTGCATAATCAGTGCTGTGCTTATTAACGTTTTCTTAGTCTCTCATAATTTTCCGAGTCCCTCTGGAAAAGAAACAGAGAATGTAAGAACATATTATAATGAATTATTATGTCCAAAGCATTTCATTTTCTTTTAGCTTGCCCTCCATCATCAAGCTATCTCAAGACTGTGTACAATAAAATGAACCACAAATGCCAAAAAACAGGTCTGTGCAGAGAGGTGATATACGTGCCCTGAGCCTTGAAGTCAGGGGCCCACTCCAGAGACCAGCTGCTTATGAGTTTATCAAATTATTCTAACAGGACTCCCACCCCAAGCCTGAGACAAGCTCTGCATGGTCCTGCCAACACCAGTCTTAAAACAGGAGCAGATTAAATGTCACAATGATAGCAATTGGGATATTGATTCAGTTTCTCACAGTTTCTCATTTTTCCAATCAGTTTCCCTTTTCCCTTTTTTTTGGGGGGGGCATGTATCAACTGTCTTGGATATTCAAAATACGTGACTGCCAGTGAATAAATGATTGCTAATTAGGGTTGGGTGATAAATTAGTTTTGGTTCACATTTTAATTCACAGTTCTAAAACAATGCATGGGGAAAGTGTGCATTAAAAATGTATAAAATAGTTAAAGTAAAATCCAAAAATACATTGTGTTAGGAGGAAACGCTTGCAGTTATGAGAAATGTGCAGTAAAATGCCAGTGAATTTTAAGGATGGCTTTAAAAAAATAACAGCCTTATGAGGAAATGTGGTGAACTAAACTTAATATTGGAGAAACTGAAAATGAAAGATTCACCCATTCCTAGTTCCATACTGCAGTTTAATTTTGGGAGATGCAGATGACGTCAGTTGGTATTGGGAACCTGCAGATATCAATCTTTTCAAGCATCCCGAGTTAGAAGAGGCTGAAAGAACAGTGACTTGCCTCAGTTTGTAACTGAAGTGGGGTTTGAACCTGGGAAAACTCTGAGCAGCTACACCCTGCTAACTATGCTGGGTTGCCACACAGGGTTGTTGTTGTTGTTTAGTCATTTAGTCGTGTCTGACTCTTTGTGACCCCATGGACCAGAGCACACCAGGCACTCCTGTCTTCCACTGCCTCCCGCAGTTTGGTCAAACTCATGTTAGTAGCTTCAAGAACATTGTCCAACCATCTCTTCCTCTGTTGTCCCCTTCTCCTTGTGCTCTCAATCTTTCCCAACAGAGTTTTTTCCAGAGAGTCTTCTCTTCTCATGAGGTGGCCATAGTATTGGAACCTCAGCTTCAGGATCTGTCCTTCCAGTGAGCACTGAGGGTTGAGTTCCTTCAGAATGGATAGGTTTGATCTTTTTCCAGTCCATGAAACTCTTAAGAGTCTCCTCCAGCACCACAATTCAAAAGCATCAATTCTCCAACAATCAGCCTTCATAGGGTAGAGCCTTCTTAATATTGGAGACAACATGGTGGAACACCTGCTAGGGATATGTTCCATGTGTTTCCTCCTGCAGTCTCTTAGGTGGCTGATTAGTAGTGTTGTGCAGGTGTAGAATAACAGAAGATTGTCCTTTGTTTTTGGGATTGCCTCTGTGTTGCTGTCCAGATGTTGGTGAACTATAGCACCCATCATCCCTGAGGAATGACTACTCTGCCTGGGGCTAATGTGGGTCCAAAAATATGTGGAGGGCACCATGTTGTGCACCCCTGCTCTGATTCAAGGGCTATTAAAGGACAGTCTCCTATCTGAAGCAGTCATCTGTTTGAAGGGATACCCATAAGAAGTGGGCATGCACCTGAAAGTTGCCCATCAACAGTAAGCATATCAAAATCAGTTGGTCATACTCTTGCTCTCTATGACAATATATATTTTAATTCTAAATGTATTTTTTATTATTGTCATAATAATGTGCATGCAAATTTGATGCAAAGCTGTGCTGAGGAGGGAAACCATAACCTGGATGAACTTGAGACCTCATTCTGGAAGATAGTGTCCTATCTAACTCTACAGTTTAATGATTCTACCCTATCAGTGTGAGCCCAGTGGAACATTGGTGGGACAGATGAGCTGCCTTTGGATTCCACTCCCCCCTCCCCCAACTTTAGGATTTCACCTTAAGTGTGTAGAGAATTTCAGCTTAACTTTAGTCCGTGACCCTTTCTTAAAATGTGTGCACACCAGATCATTTAAATTCAATAGCTGTATTTCCAGGGACCATCATAAAAATTAAATATGCTACTTTCCCACATTACATGCTGCATTAGCCATATGTACAATAAAGCATCCTTAATAACAGTTGTGAATGTGCCCTCATTCATTCATATGCATCTCTTTTGAAAGATGCTACAGCAAGAAGAGTACACCAAGCATGTCAGTTTTTTAATACTGATATGGGAAGTTTTTCTCGAATTATAAATATTTTGTGTGCAAAACGTGTCTAAGATGATTATATCTTACTTTGCACACCAGGATTCTCCTCCTCCTCCTCCTCCTCCTCCTCCTCCTCCTTTTTTGGAGATTTTATTATCAATATTATTCATGTGATACTTGGAACTGGTGCTAGCCTATGCAGATTCCAAATGTGTTTGTCATATACCATTAGTCACTCTGTGAAATCTCTCAGTAATGGTTAGCCCCTGAATTTTCTGCAGCTAAGGAGAACTTAACACTGATGGATGGGAGATCACTTAGTAGGTTGGCAGGCTTTCCAATTTACGGTGAGGAAATTGCTCTATTCTTTACGTTCGTTCTTTCTTCTGCCGGGGAACAGTAAGATATATGTGCCAGGGTGCAGCAAAGGAGTGAGGATCTGATTGGCAATCCTGCGGCTCTCTTTTTTTACAATTATGATTTTATCATTTTCAAAAATTGTACACTGAATGTCAGGTGTCTTGGGTGAAATTGTTACTTTTTAATTCTTTCTATTTATCAAGGGCAATTGATATATCTGCATCTCTCTCTCACACACACATGGCATACAAATTCTGTTACCTTGCCAAATTAAAGAAAAGGAATGAGTTCATTCTGTTCCATACATTTCTTTTTCTTCAGTTTTTTGAAGTTCTGATCATCTGGAGCTTGTTTCCTATAACCATAGTGGCAGATGAAATAATTTTTATTTCTTTATTTTATTTCAATAATTCATATACTGCTTAATTATAATCATTTTAAAACTATTAAATCAGAATTCAGTTGCAATTCTGGCATAGTGACTCCCACACAGAACCTTGATTGTGGAGGGATCAAGTGGTCCTTGCAATATCCTGGACCCATTATTAAGAGCCTTCCAAATTCATACAATAACCGTGAACCTGGGCTTGTAGTTGTATGGGCAGTCAGTTGTATGGACAAGCTTTTGATCACTGGAGTTACATACTTGTTTGTCCCCAATTTTAGACCCTGGACCTAATGGACTTGGGGAGGGAGCTGGCTTTAGGTGGCCAAAAGTATTACTTCAGTTGTAAAACACACAATTAACATTTCTCTTCAATCACTCCATGCTTTACAACTGCTTCTACACTGCTGATATGTCAGAGCGAACAACAATAAAATCAAAACAGTTTGACAAGTCCGATAAAAGAAATACTCTGAGTTGAGTATGGGCAATTTCACATTTCAAACTCACTGGAATAATAGCAGCATCAGGACTACAGGAATAATATTTATTTATTTTCATTTATTTAATTTATATTGCACTTGATATACCACTCTAAGCAGTTTACAAAAATATAAAGTCTGAATTAATGGTTTAAAACAGTTAAAAATAGTTATCTAAAACTATTTGAAAGCTGATTAAAATTAACAGTAGCTTTTTTAAAAAAAATGTGTGTATAAACTAGCTTAACAAAGAAATGTAAGGGGTATGGTTATCCTGCAAGTAAACTGGTCTCAAGCTGTTAAGTTGTAATAGTAACAGTAACAACTTGAACTTGGCCTGGTAGGAAATGGAATTTCCTTCTCTCACCCTGCTAAACTCATTTACTTGGGGCTAAACATCATTCATGTTGTAGAATAAAATACATTTTAAAAAACAAAAACATGAGCTTCTGTAACCATGAACATGCCTGTCTTCCACCTTCTGACTATCTAAAAAGAGTCTGTTATCCCTTATGTACCCAACTAATCACTGCAATCCATAGAACAGGATCTCCTGCAAATACCATCACTTCAGGTACTATTCTGTGCAATGTAGAAATTGGACCTTTAGTGTGGTGGCCCCCTCACCCTTTGGAACTGCCGCTTGTTACATATCAGACGTCTTTTCAGCTGTCTTTTCTGAGGCTAATTAAGACCTTCCTTTTTCAACAAGTCCTCTAAGTGGATATATTTATCCCAAACATTATCAACTGCTTTTATATATTAAATTGTTTCAACACTGCTTAGAGAGTTTTGACACCACTTAGAGATTGTTGAAATATTAAGCCTTCAGCCTACAAAATGGAACCCTCAATTCACCAGCCAGTGAATGGAGGAGTCAGTCCTGTTTGGCTCTTCTTTCTAAGCATGTTCCATGTGAATCACAGGGTGATCTAGGTCTGTCTCAACATGACTTGGCTGAAGCCCAGATTTGGTTCGAGCTTTGGTCAAATGCAATGTACAGCCCTATCAGATATCACCAACATACCTACCAAACTAATAAATTTTGAAGAAGCAAATGATGTATCAATTCATGGATATATATTTTTTGCAGCAATCTATTGCATAAGAGCAAGCAAATTGAATTTCTAGTGAAATTCTTTCTGTGTTTCATACGTTACCTCTATTTTTTTTTTATCATATGCCCAGATGTGTGTCAGCATTTTGAAAAAGCAATAAAACACGAAGCCTTTACTGTAAAACAGTTTTTGCACAGGTTGAGTATGCTATACCAAACCTTTTCTCTTCTATCTTTTTACAGTTCTCATGTTTAAATATTTCGTAGTGTGAAGTTACTTAAAGAGATACTTACTTTTTTGTAGCAAAGCTTTACCTCTCCATGTGTGCAAAAGAAAGCAAGAAGCACTCAAACTAGTGATTTCTTTTCCCCACCTCTCATATCTTACAAGTACAATGTTTTTAGAGTGCTATTTAAAAAACTGCTGAGTTCATATGACTTTCACCGAGTCTGAGAATTCTTTACAAATTTACACACACCTGGGAAATAGGAACAGCAAAAGAATGGTATTTTTTAAAATAGAAAATGCATCTAAAATATTGCTGTGGGGTTGCAGTTTTTACATCGTACAGCAAAGCAAAAATGACACATCCAAAATATAGATAGTAAACACTGTAATGAAAACAAATGTAGTAAACTGTACACTGGGGCCCAATTATATATTCATTATGGGACTTCCATGGTGTGTTCTATAGATGGTGTATAGCTGCAAAATGGTGTCCCTGGGAGGTGATGCAATGATCTATGGAGGCTTTTATAGGCCCTGACAAAGGACATATATAACAACATTCTTTCAGGTTACTTTATTCTCTACAGACACCAAAGGGAGTTACTCTAGAACAAGGAATCCCTTTTAATCTGAAGGGCCATGTTTCCTTCTAGGTGGTGGGCAGGGCCAGAAGCAAATGCCAATTTACTCACACACTCCTCTCTACCCTCCATCCAAGCAAGCAAGAAGTGTTATCGTAGAATCATTGAGTTAGGAGATAATTAACTGGTTGGTCTGTGAGCAATTAGAAAAGGATGCTGTCATTGCTAAGATCTAGCATGAATGTCTCAAAAACAAGTCATGTCAGAGAAATCTCATTTCTTTTTTTGATAAAGTTGGAAGCTTGGTGAATCAGGGTGATTCTGTGGGCGTAGTACATCTTGATTGAGTAAGGATTTTGACAAAGTCCCCAATAAAATTATTCTGGAGAAGCTATAAAATGTTGCCTGGATGATGTAACTGTTAGGTGGATTTGTAGCTAGTTGACTAACCCAACCCTTAGAGTGCTCACTAATGGTTTCTTGTTATCCTTGAAAAAAGTGTCATTGGGGCTCTGCAGGGTTCGGGTCTGGGCTCATTGTTCTTGAATATCTTTATAAATGACTTGGATGAAGCTATTGAGGGGATGCTCATCAAACTTGTAGATGGCACCAAACTGGGAGGGGTAGCTAATGCTGCAAAAGACAGAATCAGAATTCAATATGACCATAACAGATGGGGCCCAAACCAACAAAATGAATTTTAATAGGGACAAATGGAAGGTTCTGCACTTAAGCAGGAAGAACCAGCTGCACAAATATAAGATGTGAGACATTTGGCTTGCCAGTAGTACATGTGAAAAGGATCCAGGGGTCTTAGCAGACCATAAGCTTAGCAGGAGTCAACAGTGAGATGCAGCAGCAAAAAACCTAATGCTACTCTAGGCTGCATCAACTGAAGTATAGTGTCACAAGCAACTGTTTCACTCTATTCTGTTTCACTCTAACCCCACTTGGAGTTTTGTGTCCAGTTCTGGGAACCACAAATAGCGACATGCCAGAATGTGTGCAGAAGAGGGCAAGCAAGATGATCAAGGGTCTGGAAACCAAGCCTCATGAGGAACTGTTGAAGGAGCTGGGTATGCTTAGCCTGGAAAAGAGGAGACTGAGAGGCAATATGATAGCCATCTTCAAATATCTGAAGGGCTGTCACATGGAAGGTGGAGAAAGTTGTTTTCTCCTTCTTTGGAGGGTAGGATTTGAACCAATGGCTTTAAGTTACAAGAAAGGAGATTCCAACTAAACTTCAGGAAACACTTTCTGACAGTAAGAGCTGTTTGATAGTGGAATGGTCGTCCTTAGAAGATTGTGGACTCACTTTCCTTGGAAGTTTTTGAGCAGAGGATGGATGGCCATCTGTCATGAATGCTTTAGTTGAGATTCCTGCATTTCAGGGGGTTGGACTAGATGACCCTTGGGATCCCTTGCAAATCTACAATTCTGATTCTATGATTGTTGAAACTGCTAAAAATAATTAATTAAGGGAGAATGTTGTGGCACTTAAGAAATTGCCACTGCACATGATTTAGATAAAAATGTAAGATAATTAAAGTGATAAGAAGAACCCAAGTGGATCAGTCCAAAGAGCCTTCCATTTTTTTAGTGAAGAGGAGACAGACAGACAGAGCGAACTATCAAGGTTTGAAATGCAGTTTGCATGAATAAATTAAACATGTGACTTGAAATGAATCTGTTTTACCTGAGACACACTAGGAGTAATAGAATTGTAAACCAGTATAGAAATGTAATAAATAATAAAAAATAATAATTCCAACCTCACTCCTCATCTTTTTTTTAAAAGGACCATTCAACATCTAATCCTTACACTTTAGTAAAAATGCATTGTCTAGTAGAATCTGTCATGCTTTGATTTATTTGGAGATGTAATACAAAGTGATGTGACTGATACAATGAGATGTGACAACTCCAACTTGGCGTGACAGCCTGAGAAATATTATATATGTGTTCCATAGTAAAGCAAAGGGCACAATCCAACTGGGAAGTTCTCCACTTTCACATTTTGCCGTTCTTGGTTTCAGTTGATTGCAGTTTGCCATGTTTCTGTATCAGTGTCTTATTGTTTTAGTATGCATTTCTCATAATTTACACAGTTTGCAAGCATATGCACTTTTATGCACACTTTCCCCTGCTATATGCATTTCTGTGCTTTTTTTTTTTTTCCTTTTTTGGAATTAAACATTAGGACTGGCTCTTGTTTCACTTTTTGGCCTGGAAATAGGTCATGTTGGCAAATAGGTCAGGTTCTGCATTTGACTGAGCCCTGGTCAGCATCAGGAACCCCTCCCCTCTGTATGTGTTATTTTAAACATACAGGCAAATACCATATCAATTGAGCCATTAGAGCATTTCATCTGTTTCACAACCATCTATTTTTCCTTCCACTTAACTGCAGATGCTGTACATGTGTGGTTGTAAGTGCTCCACTTTATCATTACAATCCAGATAAAGCATTACAAAGAGTTATGGAATCCTGCAAATATATCTGGTTTTCTGCTGCCAATGGGGAGTGTATATGTGTGGGTGGGTGCATATAAATATATATATATATATGAGAAAATGGCCTAATCACTGTTGTGAATAAATGCCTCAAACTGGTAGTGGTTCTGAATAGATTATTGATGGATTCATGGTAAAATCAGCAAGGGCAGCATCAGGACCCAACACCCTCAGGCAGCTGTGAGGGTCACTGCTACCAGCTGCCCTAGCCTTCCTCTTCAAAAATATTCTGATCCATTTCTCTGAGCAGCTGCATTTAAATTTCTCAGAATGTTGCTGATGCAATGTTGCTTTGAGTCATTGTGGGAAAGTGAAATGGGTGGGTAATCCCAGCCACCCAGTCCACTGCTGATTTGCACCTCCTCTAGATCAGCCTACCAGGGCCCACTGACAGTGGGGTGAGACCCTCTTGACACTTGAAGTTGGCCCATTCTGGATGGTCAGGCTATTGTGACTATATGCCACTATAAGGCTTGTAGGATTCGGAATCGCATTATACTACCTACAGCACTCGAGGTTAAGCTGGAGGCAGAACTACAAAACAAGCTAGGTGTTAGAACTAAATAGAAAAACATGTCTGAGATCTGGTAGGCTTTATTGCTTAAACAAAGATACACTGAGATATGAAGCTCTGCTATACTAATTTCTGCCCAGGATAAGTCAATGACTAGTTTGAAAGGTTCTTCACTGAGAAACTGTAGTAATGTGGATTGCCACATAGAATGGTAGTCAGCAGTTCCTGACAGGTAGATAATAATAATAATAATAATAATAATAATAATAATAATAATAATAATTGCACACCACCCTGTACCTATAGATCTCAGGGTGGTTGACAACATAAAATTACAATTAAAAAAAGACAAAATACATAATAAAAATAGTAACAAAGACAACCCAATAATCCCCCCCTTCCACAACACATTTAAAAGGGCCTGGCACCTAAAGGTGTATAATGAAGGCACCAGAGAACCTCCTTGAGGAGAGTATTCCACAAATGGATTGCTACCTTGTGATAGATCTATCTAGCTCAGAATCGTCTGCACTAGATGGCAGCAGCTCTTTATGGTTTACGGTATGTTCTTTCCCAGACATACCTGGAAACACCAGGGATGAACCTGGACCTTTTGCATGTAAAACATAAGCTCTACCACTGAACTACAGACCTGCCTCAAAGGACTGACCAACGGAAATGGCCAAGGGACTCCTGTTGCATATTGCTTCAGGCAATAGGTTAACGCTGTTTTATTGAAAATTAAATCGTGGGACAAAAAGATGGGGAAGGGTGACTGCTTTGTTTTACTTTTTGTGAAATTGTTCTATCTTGCTACATGTTCAAAACCAAATGAACAACATATTTAATTTGTATGACTTCCTGTTGTTTTGTATTAGCCCTAATGAGTATGATAGTTTAGAACATCTGCAGATCATCAAGCTTCTGAAGCAGCAGCGTATTCAATAGGTCTCTTACAGACAGGTGGAATCCCATGGAGGAAAGGGATTGAGGAGTAGTACAGATAATGAGAATGTATTTTAAAGAGCATATTAAGCTGCACTGTAATTAATTGACAGTGTTTGGGATCAAAGGGGAGAGTTTATTACAGGCGGGAAGGATGGGGTGGGGTAAGGGAGGCAGGCAAGGAAGTCAAATCTTGGGCACAAATGTTTTTAGCTACAACTCAAGAGAAGTGTGGCATCAGAGCAGATGCATTATGGTAAAACATTGCCCATTAATGTCACATCAATGACATGTGCAATGACCCAGGGTGGGGGGCTAAGGCAGGGAGAGGGCAGGGGGGATCATTTGTTTGTAAGCTATTACCACATTAGCAGTTTGAGCCAATTGCCAAATGCTTCCCAGTCTGACAGAATGATTTTTAAGCTAAGAGTGTGGAATTGTTCATTAAGACGTTGAATGGCAGCCTAATATAGCAAATCAGTTCAGAAGATTTCCGAATGCATTAGCACTGGCAATTTAATACCTTCAACAAATTTAGCTGTCACTCATGAGCCTATCTGTCCTTGTTAAAAGAAAAGAGGGGGAATTAAATAGATTCTTTCTCGTGATGGACAACAACTTGGCAGAGACAAAAGCCCTGCTTCGGACTTTTCTGTTGGGAGGTGTTACATTAATCAGGATTAAATAATCCGTGTGAAGTGGTGGTACTTTAGGCCAAAGGGATGCTCAAGATTGTGTGCATGAAATTCCTATTGTTGCTCCTGACTTCTTAGGGGTGGTTTACTCATACATGAGCTGTGAAGTTTGCCTGTTTCACTCTGTTTACCCACTCTTTTCTATATGTTTTATTCATAGTGCCTAATGGCAAAATTCTAACCGTGTCTACTTAGAAATAATTCCTATTCCAAGGGTAAGGAAACTTTGTGCAGCCGGAGGGCCACCTTCCCTCATGTTCAGTGATGGCTCCGACCTGGTGGAATGCTCTGTCCCATGAGACTAGGGCCCTTCAGGATTTAACCTCCTTCCCTCAGGCCTGTAAGACAGAGGTATTCCTCCTGGCCTTTAATTTGAATTCAGCCTGATATTTTATTTCCCTTCTCTCCCCCCCCCCCCCTTTTATGAAGATCACCCACTCTGAGACCCACAGCTAATTCTCCCCTGGCCTCCTCGCTGGCCCAAGTAGAACCAATTCAGCCAGCTACCCTGGGGATTATCTAATTGATTTTTGATTTTTGAATTTTATTGTTATTCATGTTTTTATACTGTATTTTATGCTGCTTTTATAATTGTTTTAAAGTGTTTTAAATTTTTAAAGTGAGAGAAACCAACATTGACAGATTTGGCCATTCCTTGCTGCCCCTGTGTTAGAAACTAGAGAGCAGCTATCATTCAGGAAGTTTGAGTTGACCCTGTAGACTAATGCCAGTCCCTACTTATATGAGCTGTTACCAAATGGAAGCAGACCATCTGGTTATACAATCATTCATGAGAGTACCTGCACTTCTAAATGGGACATTGTAGGTTCCTTTTTGTTTTCCCAACAATACGTTCAGTCTCTCATTGAATTTTGTCCAGGGTTTGGCACCCACATCATCCTGCAATGCATCAAGCAACATCCATCCATTTGCATCACTGGAAGGTTGACAGGAGCCATAGCCCATTTCTGGTGTGTCATTAGATTGCCTAAGTGTGTGTTGTGCATGTGCAGGCAAATGCTGAATTATCAAAACGAGAAGGCAAGAAAAAACTGCACTGATAATCATTAGCCTCAATGGCAGGTGCACAATGAATAACCAGGATTTCATGAAACCTAGCCCAATGCAATGCACATAACACCTGAGACTCTTGAGAAAGAAAAGCTTTGGAGGAAAATGTTGCTTTCAGATCTGAACTAGATGGGAGTCTCACTGGAGATTCATAATCAAATCTCCCTGCTACTGAAGAGAAGCAGCAACTCCTAATCACAGGTGAGGGGCTACTACTGATAGTTACATGTCAGATCAGGAGTGGAAACCTACAAGTCTGGGACTGAATGTGGTGCTGCAGAGATCTCTATTGGGCCCTTGGGATTGTCTTCAGGCCACACATTTGTCTATTCCTCACCAGCCCTTTGCCTTCCTTGAGTGATTTTGACTGGTTGAAACGTATCCTTCAACTGTGATAATGGCTACTCTCACATGGCTGTTTATTCCCAATGTTTCTCTAACTGTTAATTTCCATGTTCAAGTTCAAGTTCAAATTGATAAGGTTTATTCTTCTAGCCAAAAGTCATGACAAATGTAGCAATAGTACTAATGAAATAATACAGAACATTCATCCATAAAAATAAGCCAACATGTTAAATTTGAGCTTTCACTCAATGTAAAAGCCACTTTCGGAAATATAGATGGATATAGAGGAATGATTGTGGAATATAGGGCAAATTTATATACAATGTCTTGCATCAATTTCAGCTGGTAGCCCAGCTGCACCCCTACCTGGACAGAGATAGCCTAACTTCTGCTGTCTATGCTCTGATAACTTCTAGGTTAGATTACTGCAACATGGTATTTGTGGGGTACCTGTGAAGATGGTTGGGAAACTACAGCTGGTCCAGCATTCAGCAGCCAAGTTGCTCAGTGGGACAAGACAGTTTGAGCATATAATGGCAACCCTGGCTCAATTCAAAGTGCTGGTGTTGAGATATATATATATAAAATGTCTTATTAGTTTTAACAAAACTACACAACACAAAGTAATCAACAGAAAAAATAAATAAACAAACATTCATTCCATAATTAGTGTTTGATGTAGGTAACAGTTTGTGGTTGGTTTCCACATGACCACCGGTCCTCCCCTTATGGTTCCCAAATTACATTCTTTAACTACACACTAAGCATTCTCTCTTCTAGGTTATTTCAATAACGTTACTTTTATAAAGCTTTCTTATTACACGCAGAAAGGGTGTGTGTGTTGAGCTATAAAGCCAGAAATGGTTTGGGTCCACAATACCTTGAGGACTGCCTCTCCCCATATAAAGCAACATGGGTCCTATGATCATCATCTGAGGCCCTTCTTTGTGTGCTTCCTCCATGAGAGGTTAGGAGAGCAGCAACAAAAGAACAGGCCTTTTCTGTGGTGGCTCCCCACTTGTGGAATGCTCTCTCCTGGGAGGCTTACCAGGTGCCTTCGTAACATACCTTTAGACAACAGGCAAAAAAATTTCTCTTCTCCCAGGTCTAATTAAACAATCTACAGCCTTTTAAACAGGGGCACATTGTTTTTGTTTGTTACTATGTTATGCATTTTTGTGTTTTTATATTGTAAACTGCTCTGTGCTCTTCAGAATAAATAATTTAGGACTCATATCCACAGTATTTGAAAATGGATTTTTTTTCCTGGAAGCAAACAGTACACACAAGAGCACTTAACTAGCACTATATTTCACTATGGTTCCAAAATAGCTTTTACATCATGTGAAAGCTCAAATATAATGGGGAACTGAACTGTTATGGGAAAGTTGTGAACATGGAATAAAGCACTATGTGAGTGCAGTCAATGCCTCCTGCTTGCCGGGATGGAAGATGGAGAGTTGCAAGCTGGAACTTTTGATTTTTGCATAGCTGGCTGTAGCCTGATGTACAAAGGTAAGAGCCACATCTTTTCCATTTTTGCACATGGCCACACCCTGCACTGGCAGGTGGTTCCCAAATGGTTTCTCATGACAAAATGCACCCCTTGGGTTAAAAAAGTTTCCTTGAGCCATAGTGTTGGAACATACAACACTGGAAGCTACTTTATAGTGAGCTGGTCCATCTAGTGCAATAGCATCACCAATGATTGGCAGCAACTCTGATTAGTGCCCATCTTTAGATCCTTACTCAGCCACAAAGCTGACCTTGGGCTTCTTACCATTTATCAAGCCCTACCTAGCAGGGTTGCTGTGAGACTAAAAAAGGAGTGGAAACTCATAGGCCACTTGGAACTGCATAGAGGTAAAGTTGGATAAAAATGTCAAAGTTGTTTTCTTACGATGATGTGAATTAGCATGGGGAGGGGGGTTGTAATTATTTCCTCAACCAGAATAAGAAGCTGATTTTGAGCCCCACTGATGCCAATAGTAGGAATGGGCAGACCACTCTTTTTCCAGTCTGTTGTCACTTCTGAGCCACACTCTAGTCTAGGAGGCAAAATCAGGTTAGTTTCTACAGATCAAAAAGATTGAATTCCTGAAGCATCCCTAGCAAATAGCAGCTTCAGGTAATGATTTCATTCACCTCTCCTTGATCCCCTTCTTCCTTTCCATATGGATGTAAGAGACATCTTCAGTTAATGCCATTATTTAGCAAAGGCAGCTCTTCAGAAGAACATGATTAAAGCGGACCATGTTGTGTAAGTAAATAGCTTTCATCTTAGCCAAGGGTCAGTGTCAAAATATTGCTGATTGGGGATGTTACAAAGCCCTCCTATGAAATGTCACTAAGTGTTCCAAAAACTCTTATGGCTTACTTGAAGAAGCTACAAGTTGACTTTTTGAATATTACTTTATTTATTTTTTTAAATGATATTTATTAAGGTTTCCCCCAAAAAAGGTTACATATATAAAAAAAAGAAAAATAGAGAAAAGAGAAAATACAAAATACAGAAAAAATAAAAGAGACTTAAAAAAACAAATCAATCTTTCCATACCTTACATTTCATTTACTTGTTTCCCTGACCTCCTCTCGCCTCCCTTT